AATCAGCTGATTTGCCTGCTGCAGCCACAGTGTTTCCTGCTTTCGAGAAAATGACAAGGGCGCTTTGTATTTGTGCGCAGCGATGCAAATCGGCCAACTGCAGCCGCTACACATGGAAATACAGCACATTTAGGAGGCGCTCCCATCCAGGACGGTGGGGCTGACTTTCCAGAGTAGGCCCAGACAAATATATCATCAGACTCCTCCTGTATCATGTGGCTTAAACTCAACCTGTCTGGTTACATAATAGGAGAATTAAAAGCAGCCACAAGCTGATGATTTGTCATTAACAATCATCAGTTTGTTAATAAATGAGTCAAAACTGCTCGTTAAGCCGAGCTGCTTCAAGCTTCCCTCTGTGTGCGTCTCCAGTCTTGTGACTGCTCTGTAAAGTAGGTCTCCTTGTCCTCTGAAAGACTGTGAAGAAAGTGTGGCTTTAATGTTAACTGAACTCAAAGTCAGACCTGCTGGACATCAGACGACCTGAGAGCTGCGACGCATCACATTAGAGACAGTTTTGGGCCACTTCTCCATGAACCAATCTTAAACACAAACAAACACTGTGAATGTCTAAGATGTTACAGCATTCACGAACGTGTCGTCCTGTGTCTGTCACACAGAACGTGGGGACGTTACAGTTTCTATCTGTCACGTTGTCTTGATTATCGCTTTTTGGAAATAATTAACCGGCACTTTACTGCAGCATCATTCTCTTTGCTTCAGCTGCGTAGCGACAGTGGATATACAAGATGAACAAAATGGGACACTGCAGGGGAAAGGTGCTGGTGGAAGCACGTTATCTAGGCTGAGTGCTCACCTGCTGCTGCGGCACACACAGCAGGAAGCTGTTTACAGCTCGTTCAGATGCAGACGACACACTGAGGAAGATCAGAAAATAAATGCAAGTTAATTTTAATAATAAAGTTGCTGGCTTGGCTCTAGCTGTGGACACACTCCCACACTGGGACGTCAGTGGACTTTTTTCTGTTACTTAGTTACAGGACATTTTGTTTGCTGCCGTCTCGTTTTTTTAAATGCAAAGAGACGTTTTTGCTACATTGTTACATCGTTACACTTCCTGTGTCTCTGTGGAGTCCCTGCCCTCCACAACGACGAAGGTGCCCGCTCAAATAATTAACAGGGACTCTTATTCCTTTGAGCCGAAGCGTGCGGGGAGGGGAGGTAGAGGGAGAATGTGCTCCTCCCCCATCTCCTCCTCCCACACTACTAAAACTCTCT